CTGATTGATTGATTGATTGACTGAAGTTTAATTTCGATTTTCTTTAATTTTGTTAATTTTCTTAATTTCCTTTTCGCACACGCACTCTTGCGCACTTCTTTTTTCGCTTTACAATTCACTATTCACAATAGCCACACATATTACAGTTATCAAATTTTCTTTTTGCAACATTTACCGTTACAAGTTTTACTGTGTTCAAAACTATCGCAAAAAAATTAAATGTTATAATTTATTCTTTGCTGCGGTCCTTTGTTTTTGTTGTCGTTGGTTTTTTTATTTGGTTTTTGTTGGCTTTCGTTGGTCCTGCTCCTGCTTCTGGTTCTGCTGCTGCAAAAATCCACAGCACATCCTTTATTGATTCTTTCAGTGTGCAGCACACAAGCACACGCACACAGATGCGAGCGTTAGGCGAATACGCATACACATACTATTGCACACACATACACACGCACGCATGCACACATGCACAGTTAGCTGGTATCGCCTTCGCCTACATATACACACACACTTCACATTTCATTCATTTAGGCCGTAGTATAGACACATCTTCTGCGCTGGGTCTTGCTTTTTCTTTCAATTTTCTTTGGTTTGGATATACACGCACACACAGTTTAACACTGGCGTCACCTAATGCGAATGCGTTTGTTGCGTTTTGGATACACGATTGCAATGTATGTTGACCACTCCTTTAGCAGTAATTAATTGCAACTTTAATGCATTGTTTTTCGTTTTACTTTGAAAATTTCTACGCAAATATCGAACATTTCCAAACACCCCAATACTTCGTTGGACTAGGGATGGTAATATATCGATATGGCATACATATCGTCATAATATTTGCTTACGATATATGGCACATGTGCATCGATATCTCGCTCGATTACGTGAACCAAAGGTCCTCAAATTCAAACAAATCGAATGACAGCCCGCCAAGTAAATATTTACTTTTGATATTGACATGTAGATGGCGCTATCATATCCGAAAGGGAGTTTGGCGCGAGAATCTGAAAATTTTGTGTAATTTAAAAGTTTTCTTATATTATTTTATATATAACCGATAAGACCCAGCTAATAATATTATATACATATACTCGTATATATTTTTAAAGCATGTCATTAATTGGCCATGAGAGTAAATCATTTTTATGTAAATTAGGGTTTTTTTTGGGGGATTGTTCCCCCAGTTCCGAAGTTGCAGCGTGTAACGGTTTGCAGATGTGCTGCTGATTGGACTGCACGGCAGCCAAATAATCAAATAAATTAAATCAACGCGTTGAGCATATTAATGTTGGGTCGCATTGCATTTGCAAGTGCGAATTATTGCACATATTTACAATATAACTGTATATTCGATGGCTGCCAGCAGCCGAGACAATTTCTGGGACAGCAACAATAACAACAAAATGTCCCAGCGAACTTCAAATTTATGTGCACTGTGCATGATCCGCCATTTTGCTGGGTGATGGAGGCCAATTGCGTGCGTGTGTGCGAGCGAGCTGGCAGACAGTGCAGCAGCATCCCAATGCAAGTGCATGTGCATTGCTGTATGTGTGGGTGCGTGTGTGTGTGTAGTTGCATTCTGATTGGGTGCCGTAGCATTGATTTCTTGCTGCATAAAATGAAACTTGTTGCCTGCAGTTGTCGTTGTTGTTGTTGTGTCGCTGTTTCAGCCATATTGGCCTCTGATTACCGTTGCGTGCCGCATACCACATGCCACACATTCCACTCCCAGCAAAAAACATGCATATAATCATGAAAAAAACTTTGGCACAAACAAAACTCTGCAGCAGCAGCGACGACGACGACTGAGACGGCGACAGCGACAGTGTTGACAGTTTTAGTTTTATATGGATGTAATCGGATTTGTGCTGATTTGTATTTATTATATTATATTATGTATCAGTTGAATAATAATATAATATATAATGCATCTAAAAATAACAACTCAAACAAAAGGGCAAAAAAAAAAAAAAAAAAAAAAAAAAACAAAATTAAATAAAAATAGTTACTTGTTAATAAAAGTCGTTATAGCTTTTTTTCAGCTTGTTTCTTAAGCCTCTCATTTATTCTTCTACAGCTTCAGCTTCTTTTCATTTGCTGCCCCGCGTTGACTAGCAGTTAGTATTGATTTGTGACTAAATACAAAATGTGCACATACACATACATACATATGTATATACGCACATACACACACGCACATATATATACGCACGCACGTGTTTACATACACAAAAGTATAGGGCATGAATTAATTAAAAATTCCGTTGGTGCCCGCTATGCGAAAGTAGTTAGCATAAGCGAACACAATAACAAAGACAACAATAATGAAAAAAAAAAACACACACACAAAAAATAAGTAAATAAATATCTCGAGCTCGCATTTGACACTTTTATGTTTTTTTTTGCGACCAGCCTCCAGCTTCGTTTGTATCTTTTGATATTATTAATGAAATTTAATTTGAGATTTTTTGCTTTGCCTCGTTCTTCACCGCGTTCAATTCCCTAATATTTGATGCAGGCGATTTTTTGATAGCTTTGCAGCACTGCACTGAATCGATTTCGATCGATAAGGGTAACAGTGTGTACATTGCAAATGCATTTTGTATATAAATTTGAATCAGTGTGTTGACACACGCACACACGCAAAAGAGTCGAACATAGTCTATAGGTGTGTAAGTGTAAGCATGTGACCTTTTGCTCAAGCCTACGCTTTGCCGTTGCTAGGGATGAGCACGTGCTGAAAGTTTTGTTGCTTGCAGCACGAGCACAAGCTGCAAATGGAAGGAGCCATGGAAATTGTAGGTAAAGGATGTATTTGAGAAGTGAATTTAGATTTTGTATGTGTAAACATATAAAATATAAAGGCATAATACACCATTTAAATGTGGTTTACTGCCAGAGCTCTATATAGAAGGGAATTTTAATATATGTATGTATGTATATTTGTTTCGTGCCATCGTGTCACGATACAAGCGCAGCTTTAGTTTGCCGGCCGTTACACACACACTATCTCTTTCTCGCTCTCTCTCTCTCTCTCGCCCACTTCTACTTACATTCACATTAAAGAGATACGATCGTCACAAATTGACGGGCAGCGTGGTTGTCGCTTGTATTTGTTGTTGTATTTGTTGCATGTCTGCACGCGCATCGCACTTGACTGCTGCTGTTGCTGTTGCTGTTGCTGCTGCTGTTGCTGCTGCTTGGAGTTGGGTTCCCTCTTGAATGACGATCGCGGCGACACCTTCTCCATACCAAATCAGTTTTGGAGGCCAATAGAAGCTGTTGCCGTTGCTGGTTATTGTTGTTGTTGCTACTGTTTGTTGGCCGTTGAAGATGTTTGTAATTTAATGGCCTCTTTTTATATTTGTTACATTATTATTATTCAAGTGTTGCGCGCAGCTGCCGCAAAACATTTCTCTCTGTCAATTGATCTTTTGTTCAGTTTCTTGATAAACCGCCTCCCTGCCTCCATTCACTATCTTCTCCCTCTTTTGCGCCTTGCCATGCGGCATCCCGTGCCAACTACATATCTTTGGCTATTTTTTGATTGTGCTATTCTTTTTCTATCTCTCTCTCTCTCTCTCGCTGTGTGTGTGTAGAAATTTATGATATATAATTAGCATGCAAAAGAGTGGACAGCAAATGCTGGAGCAGGGCGCGGGCTGAGGAGAACCACACAAATCCACATAGCATAAGCTAAGGTGGACTGCAGGAGAGAGCAGCGCAAAGAGAGCAGTCACTCATACACACACAGTAAATTCTTAAAGTGGAAGGTGGAGAGGAGAAGGAGTTGACTGACTCTCACACAGCAATTGGTCAAGCGGAGGGAGCGAGAGGCAGGGAGTAGTCTCTCATAGACTCACACACGCAGCAAATGCTAAAGTGTAAGGGGGAGAAGGAGAGGGGATACTGTTAAGAAAGGAGTGTCACACACACACACACAAAGCAAATGCTTAGAATGAAAGCGGGAGGAAAGGAGCTCGAAACAGTCTTAGCAGCAGCTGAAAGTAGAAGGGGGAAGCGAGATACACATACACATACACACTGACACGAAGGTATGTGTGCGTGTGAGTTCAAGCGGTGCCGCATTTTTTGCCCGCTTTTGCTAAGCTATTTCTGTCGGCCTTTTGTTCAGCCTCCACACAAAAAAACCAAATAGAAACAGTTTCTGATTCCGATTTAGAAATACATATGTATTTGTATGTGGCTATAAATTGATTACTTTGTCGCTTTGACTAGAAATTTTTGCATTTCGAATATCAATTTGCTGTCATAGGTCAAAATTCGCTTTCTTTTCTTCTTTTTATTCGCTGTGCGATTATTTCGAACAGGAGCGGATTTCACTTTGCTTCAGCTCCTAATGCGTTGTTGACGTTAGATGATAATATTTGGGATTTTATTTTTAATGATTTGTATTAAAGATTAAAAACCTTGTAATTTAGTACAATGTAGCTCTGCTTGACAATGGAAATACGGAATACGGGAATATGGCTGAAGCTATTTAGAACTAAGTCATATACCGACTATAAAGATGAGATATTTGGAATAGTAAATATTTAAATTATTTTCATATCAAAAATACATATTTTATATATCAAAATTGAAATAGTGCAGCGCCCTGCTCTGGGCGCCGGGATAACCTTCGCATCCAGCCCACTTTGCTACCTAACAAATGGAATCATTAATTTTACGAACTTTCGATGCTTAAAATGATTTCCAAGCGGAGATTTTTTTTGTGTTGTGCTCATATGTCAAGAGGTCGATTGGGATTTCGCCGAGGGGCCCTTTGACTAAAAACTTTCATCTGCCAAATTTGGCAGTCGTACCAGGGGGGTTATAGTTGATTGATCTTTGACCCCAACTAGTCAAAAATAGAGAAAAACAATTTTTTTTTTCTATTTTTTGGGCGAAAACGAGTTCTTAGAAGAAAGCAAACTATGAATAAGTAGCTAAATAGATTCTACAACAAACATACATAGGTGAGTGAAGGGAGGGGAAAGGGCTAAGCTAATGAATAATTCAGATCGCAGATCAGAGATCGTTGAAGATTTTGGCAATTAGCTTTGGGTCAATAGGTCTGCGTCCGCAGCGAACTAATATAAGCCGTCGCTACGACCGCTCGTAGCTCAGTTTAGTCGAGAACCATGAGGAGTCACAGCTGCGTGTGGGCCTTGATTGTTGCGGTGCTCTGGCTGGCATTGGCCAGCCGAGAGGTCAACGGCGAGACGAGGATCGAGGTGGACGAGAACGGGGATGAGTACGAGCTGAAGCGCTTCTATATCCAGGGCCGGCAGCTGAATGGCCAGGGCAGTAAATCGCAGTGCGTGGTCACCAGACGGAAGCGTTCGAGTCGCTCGATGAGCGCGCCCAGCATCTCGGTCAGCTCACAGCAGCTGAGCTTGGACGCAGGGACGGAGCCACTGAAGCTGCAGCAGGAGCAGGATTCGAACAAACGCCGCTATGTGGCGCTGGCAGCGGTGCAGCTGCAGCAACCGGAGGACGAGGACGACGAAGATGATGATGAGGAGGATGACGAAGACGATGGTGATGAGCAGCAATTGGAGATCGAGGAGGTGGTCTTAGCTGAAGACGATGGCGAGCAGCAGGTTCAGCAGGTGCAGCAGCTGAAGCCACAGGCGTTCCTGGTGGATGCAGTGCAACAGAAACAGTTCCCAGGCCAAAGCCAGAACAGCTTTGTGGCCTTCACACAGAAGGTGCCCGGTGGCGTCAGCGTGGTGGCCAATGCGGCGACCCATGCCAATGTGGTCGGGGATGCGGGCATTGTTGTGGTCGAGTCGCAGGAGCCGCCCAAGGTCAATCCCAATACACATGCGGTCTTCGAGCTGAAGCCGTTGAATCAGCCATCCTACTACCAGCCGGGCGCACCGCTTCTGGGTGGGGATGAGGCGGCCGAGGAGGAGGACGAGGACGAGGAGGATAATATCGACAGCGATGGCTTCTATTATCAAGGCTTGGGCGTCTACGATGAATACGAACACTTCATAACCGAGGATAGCCCGGTGAGCACGTCGGCCGTTTGGAGCACGGATGGCGATGATGAGGATGTGCAGCCCGTTGTCAATCCGGCCAATCGACCAGTTAATGAGAACAAGAAGAAGAGAAAGCAGCAGCAGCAACAGAAGCAGAAGCGTCGCAAGCAGCAGCAGCAGAAGCGCAGGAAGCCGCAGCAGAAGAAGAAGAAGCGCCCAGCTAACGAACTGCAGGCAATGAATGGCGTAGAGCAGGGCAACAAGCAACAGCAGCTGCAGCAGAGCGTCAGCGTCAGCAGCGTCGATCAGACAGCGCAGAAGCCGATAGGCAATAGCAGCAGCAGCAGCAGCAGCGGCAGCGGCAGCGGCTCCTCCACGCCCGTTAAGCGTCGCAAGTCCAAGCCCAAGCAGAAGAAGAAGAAGAAGAGCAGGCCAAGCAGCGTGGGCAACAGACGCCGCCGACCCAGCTCCAGCTCCAGTTCCAGTGCCAGCTACAGCTATGGCTCGATGGGCGGCTATAGACGCCGTCGTCCACAGCTGACGGAGGCGCAGCGTCGCCGCCGACAGCAGCAGAAGCGTCGCCGCCAGCAGCTGCAGCGCCAGCGTCGTCGCCGCAACAAGATTCGCCAACAAAATGGCATCGGCGGCGGCTATCGCCAGCAATACTTTGGCGACGAGCCGATCGTCAATTGCATCTACATCAACAAGGATCCGGTGACGACGACGACGACGACGACGCCGCGTCCATTCTGGAATCTGCTGGGACGCAGCGCAGCGCAGCAGCCACAGCTGGCAGAGCAATCGCCACGGCGAAACGGTGAATTCGGCAATCGCAAGCGCACGAATCTGAAATTTACCGCCTAAAACAAGGCGAAACCTAAATCGACGAAATTAATTTTAAATGCCTTTTTTTTTTCTTCGACATTTAAGTATTTATTTATTTAAACCAACAATTTTTTGTAATTCAAATATGTATTTTTTTTACGTTTTTAATTCGCTCAATTAAATCTTGTGGTGTTACGACACTTGTAGAAATTATTAATAATCGGTAAAAATTTCATTATCGATTATTTTCTGTGGTCAAAAACTCATCTAAAATGTGCGACACCTGCGCCTTGCTCTGCTCGTCCTCGCTCCGTCCCTGTCCCCGACCCCGTTCCATGCAAGAGCCTGCTACCCGATTCTAACTGTAACATGAATCCGCTATTCGGCGCGTGACGTGGCCAGCGCAAGGCTGAAAATTGAACCGAACGATAGAGAGAGAGAGAGAGAGAGAGAGGGAGAGTAAGAGAGATAGCTCGAGAGGGCGAAGAAGTGGGCAGTGGAGACGCAGTTAGGCGCAGCGCAACAGACAGCAAAGTGCAGCTAGTGCGAGCGAGATGGAGTTTGGTTTGAGTAGCGCTAGTTTATGATTTCCGTTGCCAGATGGCGCCAGCAAGCGCAATTTAAAATGTCAGCGATGGGAACATTTGCTGCTTGACGCTGCGGCATTTCCGTTAGCTCTGTGCGCCTCCCAAACACCCACAGCACAGCGCGGCGCAGCGCAGCCAAACCACGCACAGTGGTTAAAGATGTGTGTTAAATATGTAAATGTGCATTATGTATTTTTTTATCATATATTCTACATTTTATAACTTTTTAGCAATAATATAACTATACTAAAGCAGCCCAATATACTATATATATTACTATTACTATATACTACTATATTCTACATATATTCTGTGAAATACTGCTATATAATATATGCGTATACATATACATGCATACAATACTATTGCAACTATTATACTCCATAATATACTACATTTATCTTTACATATGAATACATCTTTAAATATGTATATCTTTTTCCATTATTATCTTCAGCTTTCTTATTTTTTTTTTTTTTTTTTTTTTTTTTTTTTTTTTCTTATTGTCATCAAATTTCTATTTTTGTTTAATTTTTGTATTGCATACTTTGCAGGTTTTTTGGAAATAGAAAAGTAAGTGCAGCTAGGTAGAGCTTTTTGAACGCTTCTGTACCACTGTGTGCGTGTGTGTGTGTGTGTGTTTATGAGTGTGTGTGCTTAGAGTGGATCGATATGTCCAGCAGCAGCAGCAGCAGCAGCCAGGCAGGCAGCAGCTGTACGATTCGTGAGGTTGGCAAAAAGTATCTACAAGATACTCAGCCCGCACACACACACACACACACACACAAGTACAGGTAGACACACCTACACACACACACATGGAGAGAGAGAGGCGCGCGCTTGGTTGGGTGCATTTAGTTTGGCTTCCGCCCATTTTCGGTTAATGTTGTTGTTTTAGTTTTTCTGTTGTTGTTGTTTTTTTTTTGTTTTTTGTTTTTTATGTTGTTTTAGCTGTTTGCTGAATAAATAAAAAGCGTGCGCACAAAGGACACAAAAGAGCACAGGCGACAGCCAGCAGGAGACAGGAGGTGGGAGCAAATGGGGAGGCTATGTAGAGGGCGGGTTAAGCGCAGCCCAAACAGCAAACAAAAAGCACAACAAAATAGAAGAAGTACGGGAAGGAAATATATGTGTGTGCAGAAAGGAATGTGGAGAGTGGAGGGAAGGGATAATGGAGAATCAGGTTTGCAACCAGCTGGAAAGAGGCGGGGGCTGGGTGGACGCAAATGGGTGGGCTTAGAGTCAGGTTAGCTAGGGTAATAAAAATGTTGATGGCGAATGCCAGAATTCTAGACAGCAGCCGAAAAATAGAGGGCAAGAAACCTCTATAAATAGTTATATCTATAGATAAAGGTGGAAATCTATATAACTTTATATGAATATACAGATACTTAGAGATGGAGCTATAAAGGCAAGGGATGGAATAAGAGATGATTATGATCTTATATATCTATATCCATGTCTATAGTCATTTCCAAAGCCTTATCCATATCCGTCTATTCATTCATTATCTCTCTCCATCTTCATTATGGATTTTTATATCCACAGCCTCAAAATAGAGGGCAAGAAACCTATATAGATAGTTATATTTATAGATATAGGTGGAATATACAGATACTTAGAGACGGATCTATAAAATGAAGGGAAGGGATAAGATATCTACATCCATGTCTATTTATTCTTTATCTCTCTCCATCCTCATGATGGATTTTTACATCCTTTCTACACATAGATATTCCATAAGCTGATCAGTCTATCAATCAATCATATCAATCAGTCAGCTACAACCAATTCTATAGATACTTATATGTGTGTCAGGCGCTTGAAAAGCGTTTAGCTTCGATTTCGACTCGATTAAACTGCAGCAATCAAGCAATCAGTCATTCAATCAATCAAACAATGTAACAACTTACCATCTGTAGCTTAAAACTTAAAAGCCCTAATTAATAATTAAGTGGCTTAGACAATATTTATCCTTATATGCCATTTCTTTCATTCCCTTAGCTCTATATATGTACATAGAATTTCAGTTTTTATAGATTTAATACTAAAATATTCATCTTACTCATGGGAAACCGGACACCGAGTGCGCAACATCAAATTTTTTCTCTTTTTTATTTCACTTTGCTTTTCTCACGCTCTGGTGTTATGCGCAAATATATATATAACTAGGGTGGCTTATGGGGAGCTCATGTTGGCATGGTAAACGCGGTGGGTCGAGGGGCTACGGAGTTTAGTTATTGATACCGTGCGATGATTCGTAACTTTTGCTAGTGGCACGCGTTTTTTATAGTGCAAATATTTACAGTCTCTGGCGAAATCTGAAACGGATGGATCTAGAGGGGGCTACGAAGTGGTTAAAAAGTTGCTGCCCTTCGAGCACACAGTGTCTATTCTATGTAATTAATAGGCAAACTGAAAGAGTTTCTTGCACTGCAGCCAGGGGAGGTCTTTGATCTGTAGAATTGAGCTGTCTGTTGTCTTTAGTAGGACCCATTGCAGCTGTGCGCCCTGCGAGAAGGGTCCTCAAAGCAGGTCATTGGCATGTGGATAAGAAACGGGTCCTCATTTGCTTTTGCGGTTGCCCCACTTTGAAAAAGGAGCACGAGCCAAGGAACGAGACTCGAACAATCGAAAGGAGAACACTGCAATACAGAACAGCAACAGGGCATGCTCGACTAGCAGTTGCTCTGTAAGTGTGCATTCACAAAGGGAAAAGTAATTTGCTTACGACCTGCTTAGTGTCCCGCTAGATGCCTATAACTTTGCTGTAAGTTTATGTAAATTTCAAAACGATATTTATCGATAACAATATAAAGTACAAAAAAATATAATATATATAAGAAATATATAATAAGATATATGTATATTAAGTAGGTAAAGGGTGAAAGCAAATACCTAACGAAAATCGATAATTATCGATATTATTAAGTTAGATGGCAAGCATAAAGGATAGCCATTAGTAGATCTAGCTTGCCATTTAGTTGCAAATTTAAACAAAATAAAGTATTATAATGTAACTAATATGCCTAAAGCTATAGTTAATCGATTTACATTTATCGATAGTCAGTTTCTTTTTAAGCTCGGGTATCTTTGAATATGTTTGTTATCCACTCATTCTAAGCTCACGTCTGTCATTTACAGGGCATTCGAAGAGTCGTTGATGCCAGCGCGTGTGGCGCAGTCTGTTAGCTCCTACTGATTTATGGCCACGTATTGATTAAGCGTCGCGTCGTCTTCTACTCTAAGCCCCCGCCGTCCTCGCTCTGTCGAGGTGTGAGTGTGGCAACCCTCGCCGTTTTTAACGCCAGTTGCTGTCGACAGATTGGCCAAGGGTTTGTCTCTGGGTCCAGGGTCTGGCTACATATCTGGCAGATGTTTTTTCCTTCCTTTTTTGTAGATTCTGACTGCTTCTCATTTTACGCTGCTCTGCTCTGGTCTGCGCCTAGTTACGCAATGATTTTTGATAGCGGCGTGGGCGTGTGCCTCTACCTCTCTCGCTCTACTTCTCGAGCACCCTCTCTCGCTCCCTCCCTCCCTCTCTCTCCCTCTCTCCAGGTATAAAAAAGGTGCGTCTATTTAGTCATAATTGGATGCGTAATTGGTTTGATGATGTGCATAATGCTGAGATGTGAAGGAGAGCTGCATATGGATTTAGAATTGTTTATGCGCGTTTAATGGGCTCACAGCCCTGGCTGAAAGGTGTGTCTAATGCCGTTAGCCATGTCCAGCAGATTTTGAAAACGGGCGTAAACGTAGCCAACATACTCTGCTCAAGCCATAAACAATGATGAAGTGCTCGGGGATGATGCTTCAATGTTTCGTTTCTCTCTTTTAGATTTAGAACTTAATTTATGACTGTCAAATTTTGTGCGCCGACAGCTGAAAGCTGAGCATATTAGTTTTGTATTTGTCTTTAACATATATATAGTGTATCTCTATAATGATGTGAAAATGCTATGAAGAAGTCGAAGTATCTGTAGGGTTGCTTGCTGAGGTTGATTCAGGATTGCAGCTAAATTTTTAGTTTAGATTATTTCTTAAGGCGAAGAGGCAGATATGATTAGGGTATATCCAAGTCTAGCTCGGGGCTCGTTTTCAATTTGCAATCTCTAACCATTAATGGAGTATATCCATATGCATTAAATTGTTAATACGAATATGTAGGGTATCTGCAAGTTCGTCGCGATTTTTCTTAAATTTCTTATCTTAAGCAAAGATAATGGCTAAGTTGGTTCCTATCTTTCTATGAAGAGGCAGAAGAATAAACTGATATGTAGAGTATCTACAAGGCGAGCATGCTTATACTTGCTGATTACTGATCGTAGGCCAAGAATTAAAGATATCCATAAAGGGCAGAAGAGGAAGCAAATCTATAAGAATTTCCTGTGCAGCGCGAGCTCATTTTTATCTTCATCTACAAGATCTATCTATATAACGGACATGCAGCTAATGTGAAGGGTGTCTAGG